TTTTACGGAACTAAATCAGAGTAACGCATTACTATCTCGACTTGCTCATCACTGAGCCACATTAAAAAAAAAAAAAAAAGATAAACGAGAGAGAGAGAGGGTTAATGAAAGGAATATAATGTAGGTATCATGGCTAGTCCTAAATAGTAAAGGCAGCAACGCCACTCCACAAGGCAATAGGATATGAGACCTTTACGGCAATTGCTTCGGACGGAGAAGCCTCTTTAAAGGCTCCTTCTACGTCTTCCGCTGCCGTTTTTTTGTTTATTTGTGACGTTTACTTTTAGGGTTATGCAATAACACTTTTTTTCATATTGCCCCTTTCTCAAGTAAGGGATTTCTTGGAGAGAAAACCGCGTCACGTATCATAATAATCAAAGACAACAAGAATAAGAAAAACCTAAATGAGAGAAGAAACGGTTAACTGCAGAGGAAATGAGAGGGACAAGGAAGGAAACAGTGAAACAAGTTGAATGAAAATTGTTAATCGGCGTCACACATTTATATGACATACGGAGCAAAACCCTAATACCGTGATTTGGAAATTTAAAGCCCAGAATTAATCATTACTTTACCTAACCTAAAATTAGGCCCCTTTAAAATGTATTGTACCCACAAAAGAGGGGAAAACACAAAAAACATAATGCTTTCATTGAGAGTTGAACTCAAGACCTCCCGCTTACTAAACGGGTGCTCTAACCAACTGAGCTATGAAAGCTTGTTGTTTTGTTTTCTAGATCTGAATATTCTAATTATATTTGATAGGACAAAGCAACATTAGAGAATTGTTTGTAGTTTAGAGTTGATCATGGTGTAAGCTCTGTCATAGCTTCACGTCAAATCTTCATCTCTTTCAAATAATCTTTACCAAAGACATGGGTGTTAAAATGTTTCATTTTTCCATTAACAATTAAAGATATCATAATAACTTATATATACTTTTAAATGGTTAACTAAGACGTAGAAACTAATATATAACCGAAACTAAAGTAAAAACATTATGCTCATATTTTTGGACGAAAATCTGAAATGAGACAAAAGGATAAAAAAGAATCTACAACAACCAAAAACAATCTATCATGGGACAAGGGCTGTAAAATGACGATTTTGCCATTAATGATAGTTCAATCTTAACCATCAGATCTTATATCTGTGTTTTAATCTTGACCATCGATTTCACTTTTGTCTCTCCTTCTCTCTCCTTCATTTTTTCAATCTTAATCACGTAAACAATTCACAGCCACACAATTTTTTTATCTCATTATATCATTCGACTGAATATAACTAGTATAACTCGTACAACTAAACATGTTGAATTTTTTTATAATTGGTATATAAATACTATAATTTATCTATAATATGTAGTTATTAGACACGACTAATATTTCATGTTTTACATATAAAATAAACAAGTAAATATCCTAATTTGTATATAATAGCAAAATTTCATCTATTTGTTTAGATTTTCATATTAATTACTATATTAAATGCTTAATTTTACATTACATACTCTATAATTTTAAAATTTGTTAACTATGTTAGTCATATTATTGTGATAAACAAACTTTAAACATATTTAACAAATCTATGTTGTAAAATATTGGTACAACTCCTAAAACTACACATAGAGATAAGTATTACTAGTATAAATGGTAACATTTTGACCTTTCAGAAAATGACAAACCCCATTTGGTATTCCATATGAGAAAAAAACAACCAAATATCCTAATTGGTATGTACTCAAAAGTTGTTCTTAATTTATTTGGAGTTTTGGATTATTATTTTTTGAAATTTATTATACAACTTCATAAGTTTACATGATCTACCTTATACTTTTAAGGTTTGTTATCTTGTATATCTACTTAATTTTTAGAAAAAATTCATGAAATGTATTTTTGTGAAATTAATGAGTTTATTGTAACCGGGTAAAGGTATGTAAACATAAATAAGTTGTACAACTGAAGTAATTGTATTTTATTATGTGGTACAACTAATATGTTTTGTTTTCGCTACAATGTACAACTATTCACAAACTCGTACAACTCAAAAACTAGTACAACCGATATAACTAGAATATTGGTACAACTATTTGTTATTTTATTTAGTGTTGTTTTAAATATGCCTAAGTGTTATAATTTATGTATAATATGTACATAAGATAATTAACAAGACTAGTAAATCATGTTTTACATATGAAATAAACACACAAATATCCTAATTAGTATATGATGAAAAAATTCCATCTATTTTATTTGAGGTTTATTAACTATATTAGCCATATTATTATGATAAACAAACATAAAACATATTTTTACAAATCTATGAATTGAAAATACTGGTACAACCCCTAAACCTAGACATATAAATAACTGATTTAATTAGTTATTATACATTAGACGTGTATTACTGGTATAACTGATACAACTTTGACATTTCAGAAATTGACAAAATCAATTTGATATTTCATATGAGAAAAAGTAGTCAAATATTACAAGTGGTATGTACTCAGAAAGTTTCTTTTAAATGATTTAAAGTTTTAATTAAAAAAAAGAAAATTATTACACAATTCCACAAGTTTACATGACATATCTTATACTTTTAAGTTTTGTTAACTTATTTGTCCATTTAAATGTTGAAAAACATTCATGAAATGTATTTTAATGAAATTGATGAGTTTATTGTAACCGGACAAAGGCATGTAAACATAAATAAGTGGTACAACTAAGGTAATTGTTTTTAATATGTGGTACAACTAATATTTTTCTATTTTAGTGCCAATGTACAACTATGCACAAACTCGTACAACTAAAAAACTAGTACAACTATGTATAATCGGTATAACTAGAAAACCGATACAACTACTTGTTATTTTATTTAGAATTGTTTTAAATGTGCCTAAGTGTTATATTTTATGTATAATATGAAGATATTTATTATTTTAAGCATTATTCTTTATGTTATCTAAATTCTATAAGTTTTGCTTATTTATATATTTTATTAAATACAAACTTATAGATAAAAAATATTAAGCTACTTGGTTTTTATTTACAATGATATATAAAATTTTCAAACAAAAAATAAAAAAAAATATTATATCAATCAAATTAAAAGGGATAAGTTAATAAAAATTAAATTATGATAGATTTTACAAAGGTAAATATTGTGTTATCCCCAAGTGTATTTTTATTTTTTTTACAATTGTGTATATTTAATTTATATGTCAAAATTATTAAATATATTATTTAGAATTATAGGCTTTATATTGTGTAACATTATAACAATTTGATTTTTCTCTCTTTTCAACATATTTACTGTATAATGGTTTCTGTTCTATACGCAATATTAATATATTTTGTAATATCTAGTACTTAAACTTATTATACTAAACTGATTAAATAGGAAATATCTTTAAAATGTGAAAGATTTTTTTAAGATTTTTTTATTATTTTATTTTAATACTCTAACCTCAACATTTATGCATTAATATTTATATTATGTCAACTAAATAAAGTTATTTAATATTTAAGTTACTTTATATAATTAAAAAATAATAATTTTAATGTAACTAAAATATAAACTTACTTGGTTATAATTTTTTTAAATGATGTATAAATTTCCAAAACAAATTTAAATATATAGAACACTAATAAATTAGAATAGATCTTTTAATAAAGTTTAAATTAAGATAGAACTTTCAAATTTAAATACCCAATGGTCCAACAAAATTTAATATATTTTTCGTATGAAAAATGGTTAATACTTCTTTTTCCTTTCTCTAATAAATTTAAATTAAGATAGGATAAGTTAATATGTGGGGTTTTGTCAAAGCTATGGAAGTACTGTTGCTATTTGGAATTTCGTGTTTGAGTGAGAGAGAGAGGGTTATGTTTTAAATTGGTTATTATAGGTTAAATTAAATGATTAATTAAGGATGTTAAAAGACTAAAATATCAATACTAAAAATCCTAATATTTAAAATAATTTTTCCGTGGTAAAAGTTAGTTAATATGTGGGGTTTTGTCAAAGCTTTGCAAGTAATGTATGTGTTTGTTGCTATTTGAAATTTCGTGTTTGAGTGCGAGAGAGGGTTATGTTTTAAATAAGTTATTATGAGTTAAATGAATGATTAATTAAGGATGTTAAAAGATTAAAATACTAATAATGAAAATCCTAACATTAAAATAATTTTCAGTGGTAAAGTTTTAATATTTCACATGATTATAAGGTTATTTTTATAGTGTATTTTCTTTAAATATATTAGATGGTTTAACTACATGTTAGTATATTACCTTAGTTGTACCAGTTATACTAAATATAAAGTAGTTGAACTAGTACACTTGGTACAACTTTGTCATTTTAGAAATTTTTTAATCACATTGTGTGTTTCAAATGAAAAAAGAAAGTTAAATGGGCAAATTTCATATTTTTTATACAATAAATCTGAAACAAATAAAAAAGAACAAAGACCAAGTGGTTCAAACACAAGTCAAAATCCAACCATGAATGTTTGTGGATTCTTTTCACCTTCGTGATGGCATTTTATCGGTTCTGAGAGTAAACTATGAAGATGTATTTAAACAAAAAAAATAATACAATTAATATAACATATTTCAATGTTATACATAATATAACTAATAAAAATGTACAACTAGTACAATTGATACGTAAAACTAGTACAACTTGTATAACTGTGTATATAATATAACTGATACAACTGATATAACTAATAAAATTATTTTTTAATATTAAAAATGAATCTGGGCCGGATTTTAGATATATGGGTTTGGGTCTCGTTATACCTGGTTGGGTAGGTAAATAATTTAAAGTTTCTAGGTTTGAAAGACATTTTGCTTGTTTTTGGTATTAAATTTAATTCAAAAAGAAATTAAAATTGAAAGAGGTCTAAAGTAGATTATTTGATACCCAAGTGGGTCATTTTAGCATTTGATCCCATATTTTTTTTATCTTATGACCAACATTGTCTAACTAATGTTGAAGAGATGGAGATGAAATAAATGAGAGCAAAAACAGAAGTTGTTCATACACTGAAGGGTCTCGAGTGAGCAACTCTCACTACTATTTATCCGTTAATACATCCTTTGCAGAAGTTACACAACAACTAACCAAAGCCAAACAAACCACAGTAGAAGAAGCTACCACATCTCTAACCAACCAAAAAAAATAATCTTTAAGATTAAGGCAAATCAAATCACTTGAGACTGAAATGTTCTGAATGCAGCAGCAAAGACACGTTTCAAATCACCCCAAACAATCACAGGAATATTCTTGAGCAAGCTCAAATCTTTATTAAGCTTCATCATACGTCATAACAAACAGGGAAAAAAAAAAGAGAATTCATTTCGAATTCTTAGAAGGAAATGAAAATTCATTTGGAGGAGAAACCGCCACGCTTCTGGTAACTAGCGACCTCACCTTCATTAGGGAAGAAACCCATAAGCCTCCCTGCAGAGTTTTGGTACGCATACATGAACCCACCCATGAGTCCGATCAATCCTCCCGTCACCATTGAAGGTCCTTTGATCCCAGGCTTTATCCCTACACATCGCTTAAATCAATCAGGACAACATTCACACTCACTTTAAAAGATATAGAAAGAGAGAGAGAATTTGACCTGATAGATAGCCGACGGTGACGGAGACGCCGGTGATGGTGGAGAAACGGAGGTAATCGAGGACGCTGAAGTTTCCGACGACTTTTGTGAATGGTGGATTCCGATCGACGACGGGGTATTGGGGCTTCTCCAAGGCGGTGATGTCTGTGTTCATCTTCTTCGATCAATTTACAATTCTCTGATCTGAATCCAATCGAATCTATCTTCTTCTACTTTAGCGTCCTCTCTCTCTTAGGTTATGCAACAAAAGCAGGGAGGAGAGTCTCTGCTTCTTTGAGAGGCTCTCTCTCAGGGCCATTTGTTGGGCCGAATGGGCCCATTTAAGGAAGACACTACTCTTTAATTAAAAACAATCATTGTGATTTGAACTAGTGTATGTGAAATTCATTTCACATCGTTGTGAATTGTTATAGATTGGATGGTAGTGTTAAGCTCAAGAGCCAAGAATATATAGCCAGTAAGTTACTTTGTTACATATCTATTTATAACGTCTAACAAAACTCAACCGCTTGATTTCAGCCTAAACTAAAGACCATCAAATGAATTTCAGTTAAGCCTTCGATTTATTAGGAATGGAAAAGCATACTAGTTTTTAAACCAACCAGCAGTAATTTGGTGGTAGGAAGAAAGACTTGGAAAATAGATATATTAACCTGTTGGACCCATATCAGTAATTAAGTTGTCACTGGCCGTTGGACGAAGATGGAACTGGAACTGGACTAGTAGTAGAGACTATCCCTTTAGAGAATTAGTTGGGTTCGGCTCGTATATCCTCCAGTGAATCAAGAAAAAAAACATACTAGTTTCACATTTGTTAATTGTCACTTGGAACCATCAATAACACACCTAACTTCAAAATTTGTGAAACATTTTTTGCAAATATAAGACCCAATATATAACACCAAGTTTAGCTGCGGGTGGTCATCTACCAAATATATAAAAGTGGACTGAAGATATCCTTTTAAAATCTAGCTATCATTGAATGGCACTTTACTTTATATCTCTCTCATTATTACTGACATATATAAGAGTTAAAGAGTACTCACTCAAATACATGCAAATAAGTTTCTTGTGTGATTGACATTTTTTTTTATCAGGACTCTTATGAGAAATTTCATTATTTCTATAAAACATATAACATTGAATTTTCTTGAAAAGCAAAAGCAGGGTTTAAACATGCGCAAGTGCAGACCAGCAGGAAGCGAATTTCAAGTACATGTACCTTACGATGCCCTTTTAGGCTGAAGTTAAAGTTCCAAGTATATGAAAAATAGAAAGACAGAACATTATCAAATATACGTATAAGTCGATATCAAGTTGAGGCCACCATTCAAAAACAAGAACAAATAACTCAATGAGTACGTAGATCATTGCCATCGTAACCAACGTAATATAAATCATAAGCATTAGCTCCGAAATAGTTAATAATATATATGATCGCATTTGAACCTTACATATTATTACATATCATCACCACCTCCAAGACTCCGTAAAAGAGCATACCGATCTAAAAAAGTTATAAATACATATTTATAAATTAAAAAAACAAAACAAAAGGATGGAGAGGAGCAGTTTTTATGAGTTTAGAGACGCAGAGACGTGTCAACGTCATCGTATCGATCAATCCCAACCACTTTCTTCTCGTCTTTTTTTGGCCACTGATGACAAAAGCTAGGCTTCTCAATGGAATCAGAGGTGGAGTGAGGGGATAAGGAGAGGGAGAGGAGCTGCTGTGACGAGCTTGTTTGAGAGTTTAGAGGTAGAAACTGAAAGAAACCAAAACTCACGGGTTCCCTGTAATATTGTGAGATATTCTTGTCTTGGTGGTTAGGTTTAGGGTTAAGGAGCTCACGCTCAGCTCTTAACTCTCGCGCCCTCTGAAGTTGTTTGAATCTTTCTTGAAGCAATACGATTGAAGACTGGATTACCATTTGTTCCTTGCGGTCTCTTACCATTGAAGTCATGAAGTATAGTAATAATGGTAATGATATTATGAGTCGTGGAGAGTGTGTTGCTATAGGGTTTGGGGCCATGTTACGTGCATCGTGCCTATTTATATATGGAGGAAAAGGTCGACATTTCTTATTATTTAATCTGCATGAAAATATTAGAAAAATAAATAAAATGTATATAGGGTTGTTGAGTAGTTCGATGAAATTCCAAAAGGAAGAGAATCAGGAGTAAAGTGGGAAGAGAACAAGAGGAAGAAGGCAAACGGGCCAATCTAAGGATTGTAAAAAGAGAATGTGTTGCATTGTTTTGGATCAAAAATGTAATGCATATTTGAATTTATTTTAAAGCAACAAAAAAAGTTGGCCAAAGTAGAAGATGGTTGGGAGGAAAATGACAAGAATAATGTTTGAAGGGAAGCACATGGATTGGTTTGTTTGGATGATTATTGAGTTGTATAAACCCCCCTTTTTTCATGCCCCCCACTTACCTCTTCCTAAGGGCTCTTTTTGTAATGGAAGCTTTATTATTTCCCACGAATCTAGATTGGTCATATATTATTGTCAATGTTGAAATGAATCTAGAATATATATTTTTAATTGTTAATGCTTGAACTTAAATTGTATACATAATAAATTTTTCAACGGTGGATTGTCAAGATACATAAATAAATCTTGCGTATGTAATGCAAGGACATGCATAATTATTGATAGCTCGTATTCTATCTTCTATATTCAAGAAACTCAAAAGATACTTTACTATTGCTGTGAAAATGAATATGAAAAGAGAGTGACAAAAGGGTTTAGGAGAGATTTTGGTGGCTTGGGAGATGGTGAAATGGAGCCACATCTTTGTCTCTACATCAAATCTTCTCGGTGGAATTTAAAGTTATATAATTTAAAGTAAAACACATTTTAAAGAAGAGTGTCAAAAGTTGTTAATGGTTTCTATAAATTAGTTGATCCACTTTTATGTTTTAACTTCTTATGATTTGGCAAGTAGGAAAGAGTATATAAAACTGGTCCTATACATTGAAAAAAAAAAGACTAGGAGTTCAAGAGTAGGGAATAATGATATCAGCATATAATAGAATGTGTGTCTGATTGATAAATAATTGTGAAAAAGACCACTCGTTTATACTCAAAGACATTCTCTCTCGATCTCCTCGTTTTCTCTCGATCAAAATGGTATGCATGAAGAACAACATCCATGCATGCCCGGTCCGAAAAGTAGTTAGGCCTTGTGCTGAGTTTAAATTTTTCCAAACTTTTATTACACAAATCTGAAAATTAGAACATTAATTGCGTGTATTATATGTAGATTTTGATAAATTTAGATCCTAATAACTTTAAGAAAATAGGAACAAAAATGAATTATGTGCAAATACACTATGAGCACATGTTCAAAACACATGTAAATACTCATGAAGCGTTAATTTATAAAGCCCTGCCAAACTTTTATATTATCATTCTCCTCATAATGTTTCCTCTTATTTTTGATTAATTAGGTTCCTTTGGTTCATTTCATTGTAACTGATTCTATCAAAATAGGCGAGACAGTATAGCTAGAAATTGGAGCGGGGAATGAAAAGAAAGAAGTGGCCATGGGGATGGATATAAAGTCTGAAAGGCACATCAAAAGTGGTGGGAGCAAAAATTTGTCGGGAAGTAATTGGAATGTAATGGCATGCATACACCAAAGCTGAAGATGCTACGACGTTTAGAATTTGGATTTACATTGTTTCACCTCTTTAGTGTTTCTGCTTCGGTATCTGTGAACTTATCGATAATGCTCTGATTTGATGGTAAACCCAATTAGATAGATGGTTGAACATAATTATAATTAAGTGGGATCAGATGAGACAAAACATAAAATGTCTTTAGATTAGTTGAAAGAGATTAGAGACAACGCGTGCCCATTTCTTCTAATCCCATTACAACCACTCCACGTAAAAATAAATATGGTTTAAAGATTTTATTTAATTTTACCCCCATGTTGTGCTTTTAGCTCTCATTTAACCTTAGACATTCTAACTTTGGATACCAAACCTTTCTTTTTTTGTCCTTACGATCAATGCCAACATTTTCGCTACTTGTATATGATTAATTTCATACAGCATTTGAGTTCACTATTAGACCGTTCCTCGGGACTAATATCAAGACTTTAACCCATCATATGGATGGGCAAGTACATGTAAAATTATCATATTAGCACACGCACAAGTTGGGGAGGTTTAGTAATGTGCCTACTTCCTCAAAACATATACAAGCAATTATTTCGATTTTTTTTTACCTGAGAAGACTTATAGTATTACTCAACTAAGAAATACTATAGTTTGACATCAACTCATTTGTACACTTCAGTCAGATAAACACGTCTCTAACTCAGATTCAAACATGAATGTTAAAATGTATTCTTAACTTTGTAAAGTTTTTACAGATTTTTATGATTTAACTTGTTTATCAGATTTAAGTTTAATGGGTTTATATGGGACACCACATCTATTGATTTAAGTTTTTTTTTTTTGCAGAAATGACATATAAAACTTGTAATCAAATGCAAAATAAATTGTATTTTTTTATTATTCCTATTTATCCTAGAAATTCAAATTGTTCACGAAAATACACATTATTTTTATTTTCTTATTTTTTTCAAAATGATTGTTTTACTCTATCATATTCATCTTTCTCTTTTATTTACAACATTGTCATTATCATCAATACACCAACCACCACGAACAACCAATTTTAAACTCCAAACGCACCTAAAATCAACATCTATATCTTCATATCCTCATTTCTTATAGATATAAATCATTTCTCTTCCACTTTCTCTTCCACTTTCTCTCTCTTTTTATCCAAAATTTCAACATTACTTTTATTATAAATTTATAAGCTTCTTGGAGTTACTTAAATTCATGTTTCTTGGTGACGAACGAATTGATAACTATTATTAAGAAGTTATGTGTACTTTGAGAAGTAAAATATGAATCTTACTGGATTTCAATTGACTATTTTGTGCGATTTTTATAGAAGACATTTAGTGAAGTCTTCAAACCTTCAGTTCTAACAAAAACAAAAACAAAAAGATTTTTAGAAAAATCTTCTCGCATGTTAGTTTCGAAGTTTTGCAGATATTTGATTTTTTATAAAAATTTTTCTTCTTCAAGACTTCTAGAGAAGTCTGCTTAGAGTTACGTGAAGTCTTTGAAGTCTTGCAAAAAAATTACGTAGATTAATTTTGTAATTGATAGTAAAAATTTAATATTAAATTCTACATAAGGCTTCGTTAGTAAATTTGCAATTGTAAAAATAAAATAAATGGAATACTTTTGTATAAATCTTCTAAATTCTAAAATCAAATAACTAATTAAATAGCAACACACACTTCATATATTAATCATAATATTAACTTATAAAATGCTTAATACATACAAAATTAAACATATATATGTCAAATTTATTTTATTTTTCTAAGTTAAAATTCTTAAATTTAATGCTAAAAGAAAAAAAATACTACAACATATGTTATCAAACCCTATACTAAGGACAATCATGACTTACAATCTATATTCTTTCATATATGTTGAAAACAATTGAATTTTATTAAATCCAAATTTACATAACTTAGATGTTTTTTATTACCTTAAGCTTTCAATTCAAAGGATAAGCTCACCCTTAATTATTTAACCCTATATTTCAATCTATAAATCTAAATGTAAAATATATATTTATTGTAATTTATTATTTCTATATTAAAAATATTTAAACTTTTTAAAAATATTCAATTAATCATTTAGTTATAAGTAGATATATAGTTGTCATTTTAATTCTAAATAATATGTTATTTTGGGATAAAATTTTGTATAGTGTTGTTGTTTGAAAAAAAAATCTCTAGTATGTTTTATTTTAGGTATTATTAAAAATATTTAAAAGACCTTTAAGCAGATATTTTTTTTGAATGAAAGTCTGGAATAGAAGAAATATAGTAATTCTTATTATAAAAAAAAAATTGATAGATGAATTGAAATACTTTTTCTCTGTAATAGATTTTTAGAAGGACAAAAAAATTGTTAAGGTAGAAAACAACTAATTATGAGAAGAAGAAAAAATGATTGTGATTGAACAGTTTTCACATAAAAGATAGGAACAGCAAAAATAAAACGCTCTATGGGCTGGCTAGTGAGCGACCTCTGTTGCCCACTAAAAGGAAAACCAAAGGTTTGAAATATAGTAGAACAAGGCCTGGGCTTTCTGCATAGGGTTTGCTTAATCTCCTCTACCAATGTATATATCGATTAGGGTTTCTCCAATGTCCATAGCTCGATAGTTTCCATCGCCTCGTTTTCATCACGTGGAGTGGTGTCAAAGCTATGTTAATACGAATTCGAATTTTGCACAGCTCTGATACCACTTGATGCAATGAAAACATCGATTTGATTCCGTATATCGTTATCGTTTTTTATGTTTCAGATATGAGATTTTTTAAGAGGAAGTTAAAGCTTCTCCCTTTTAACATCATAACATGGTTGTTATCGATCTATAACTTTGTGGGTTTAATTCTTAGAGCCCCTTGAATTCGTATTCGGACAGAACCGAATTCCTCAATGATGGTCTGTCTTCTGAATGTGACAATGTTCAGAAGCTCTATAGATATATTGTGTATCTGCTTCATTAGTTTGTTGGGAATAAATTAGTTAAGATCCATGAATGGAGGAAAAAAACTGATCCCGTGAGATCATTCAACTCTAAAATCAGTGAGATTTTCAACTCTAAAATCAGGTCAAAGTTAGTCTCTCTACAATGATAAATTTTTGCTTTTGCCGCTAACAAGTAGCTAGCATTTTTGACCAGCCTCTGCTCAAGAAACCACTTTATTCAGGTTTCAAAGAACTAATTTTGTAGATGGACTCAAGTATGATGTGTAGTTATGGCCTATAACCATACCTAGGTGATAAATAGCATCTCTAAAATAGTGTGACTTTCTGCTGTTTGTGGATTTGATAAGTTGTCCACTTTCATGTATTCAGGTTTCAGAATATGTTTCTTCAAAAGGGCAATAACACTAGTTTAACTTGTTTTCATGTATTAGCCTTGCTAATATATTCGCTATTTCTCACCTCCAATGAGCATAAATCGTTTATTTCTACTCCTTATATTCGTCTGTTGCAATGGTTGCTGCAAGAAGCTCTAAAGAACAAGTTCAAGGCACTAGAGCTGGAGGAATAGTAACTCAAGATTTGTTTCATTCCCCTTTATTTCTCTGTATTGCATTCAACAAACCACAATTGTATGTTCTCAGAACCTATAAGAGCTTTATGAAGACATCTTGACTTTTCTTCCAGTCTCATGTTGTATCCTTTATTCGTTGATACAAAACATGCAGATGGATAGCAATATGGTAACTCTTATGAATAATTATTCATGAATCTTTACATGTTTTACATACACTGAGAACATATGATCTTGAAAACTTTCAGGGAATAACTTAATGTTTCTGACTTCTGGGGTTGAAAATAATGAAACTATATACAGTATAGCCAAAGTGTAAAATGTCACAGGCATTGTTATAAACTATTAGCCAAAACGTTTCGGTAACCAGAAAATGTGGATTCTAGAGATAAAAGCTTTCTTCTTATGATTGATAATGTATATCTGAAAAGCTTGTTTTTGTTATATCTTATATAGGTAAGTATACCCTGTGCATAGTATAGCAACCCCTACTCTTTACCACTAAACTCTTCAGACAAGTAAATGTATAATATTATGTCTGAATTTCTTCAAAGCTCCCTGCAGCTTCCTGTGTTAGTCTGAACACAATTCAGTTCAGTTCTATGTCACCAAACATGGAATTTCTGGAGATGTTCAATTAAATCAAAGAGATTGCCGTTCCTAATACTTGTGGCAGAATATTATTTTTCTTATCTACCTTAACAGTTCTGTACATCTATATGAATCTCCGGTTCCGTTGGATTTCACCAATAACAAGTGGTCTGGTTTCTTAACTGTGCATTAGCCAGAATGTCACTACAGCACATCGTCTCCACAACTCCCCTACGTGTTGTCAATTGTATTATCGAATCACCGACTTTGGATAACCAATATACGCGTGCTAGAACTTACTTAGCACGATGCAGTGTATGTGGTTCATTAATATGTGCCAATACAAGACTCGAACCTATTGAAAGAACAAAATATTAAAAGATGGGGAGTGAGTTTGGTGACTGATCTTAGCAATTAATTTTGACCTAATCTCCACTTCCACCTACCTCATTAGCGGTTTATCTTGATTAACTATGAAAACAACTAAAAAATCATATGTTGTTTGATAAGACATCCAGGGCCGATCCTAAATATTTATAGACCGAAAACAATTAATAAAAAAGATCTATTGTTATAGCTAAGAATTGAATTCATTACCTATATCTCAATTATAATTTTTATTAACCATTAAGCTACTAAATATCTTATTAAATATTTTGGCCGAAATTTTATATAAACAAAACAAGGACGAGAAAACCTATGCTTATTTGGCTTCTCCTCAGGGCCATTACTGGTCACATCTCTTTAAATCTTTCGTTGCAAACATGGGCATTGAAGCAAAACGAAGGACCAAATATGGGTTTGATTAGAGAGGATTAATGGGGGAGATGTAAAGTGTAATAAATAAGAAGAAGAGGAGAAAATGGTGTTCATTTAATATAGTGTTTGTGCATGTGTGTGTGCCCATCCAAAGTCCCATCTTAATTTGTATTCACAAAACCTTCTTTACTTTCTTTTTCCATTTTCCTAGAACATTAAAAGACAAACATGGAGCATCATAATCCTTTTAATTAAATCTCTCCTAAAACTTCATTGCGATATTTCACTTTCGTCTTAATAGAAAGGACTCTTAAATGCTCAAAACCTACACATCTTAATTAGAAAAGGTTTGGTTTTTGTGATCAATTAAATGCATCTCCAACTACGTAACAACTACGCTTACAAGAGATTTTGTACCACTTGGCAGACTCTAAGAAGGTGTTTCTGTGATCTCAATCAATGTTGAGGGATAAAAACGTTTAGCAAAACAAAACGTCTTAAACAAACACTCATAGAGATGTGAAGTTTCAAACCATGAAGCTTTTTTTTTGTTTTCCTTTTCAATAAATGACGTGGGACAGTGAGCATTTTCTATTTAAGGCCTTTAACTCTTAAGCCAACCGGTCTCTGTACTCTCTCTCAAACACTAGTCTCTTGTCTTGTCCAAAACTTGGATTCTTTTGAGCGTACACATGAGTTACTTGGGGGTTGCTGTCTACCACGGAGGCAAGATGAAGCTGATTGATAGGAGACTGAGGCTAACGGAGCTGCTCTTACGCAGCTCCATCACTGTCCTCGCTCTCCTCGGGATTATTCTGATTGTTACAGACACTCAGGTCAAGCGAATCTTCACTATTGAGAAGAGGGCTAAGTACACCAACATGAAGTCGTTTGTGTTAGTAATTATATCTCATATCAACAAAGTACACTTTGAGATAGTTTTGTTACGTTTGCAACTTTATGTTTTGCTTTTGTGTAAGATGCAGGTTCTTGGTGGTCGTTAATGGTATAGTTTCGGTGTATTCATTGTTGCAGACGCTTCGTTGCGTTATGGGTTCGATGAAAGGAAGCGTTTTGCTCAACAAATCTCTAGCTTTGGCCATTTTCTCCGGCGACCAGGTGAGTGTGTGTTTCTCTTTCCATACATTATTGTTACCATAACTAGTGAAGTAGCTGTGTAAACTTGTGGGTTTCACTTTGTCGTTTTAGATCTCTCATAGTAGGGAGAGTAGGGATTGCTATGTTGAAAAGTCTTAGAAGCATTGAATGTGCTTAAAAATTTAGGTAGGAATGTTGCTTGTTTGTATCAAAATTGAATCTAGGAGTCCATGTCATTAATGTAATGTGTGTCAATGAGCAGGCGATGGCTTACATGAGTGTGGCGGCTATAGCAGCAGCATCAGAGTCTGGTATGATTGGGATAAGAGGTGAGGAAGAGCTGCAATGGATGAAAGTGTGCAATATGTTTGGTAAGTTCTGCCACCGAGGAGCTGGAGGAGTAGCCAGCACCATTCTTGCTGCAGTTGCAATGGTTTTGGTCTCTTGCATTTCAGCGTTTAGTCTCTTCCGCTTGTACGGTGTCACCAACCAAAGACCATCAAAGCTAGCCATGGTGAAGTGAAAAGACGCATCCTCTGTCTTTTTTATTAGTGTTTAAATGTTTGTCGCTAAGTAGGGCTGGGCAATCGGGGTCCCAATCGGGTTTCGGTTCGGGTTCATTCGGGTTTCGGGTTTTCGGGTTCATGAATTTCAGCCCCATTCGGATATTATAAAAATTTGGGTCGGATTCGGTTCGGGTTTAGTCGGGTTCGGTTCGGGTTTAGTAACATGTCCAAGATCCGGTTGAACCCGAAATAGTTTCGGTTTCGGATACTAATCGGGTTATCGGTTCTAAAAATACTAATTTATACTCAATTAAACTCACTATATTTTCAATCATTTTATTAAATTTGTGTGTTTAGCTTCTACAAACCATATTGTTCTCCTTCAAAATAATATTGTGAAACTCATCTATCAACCATATAAGATTTGTCCATGAACTATATGTGACAACACTAAACATATCATGATTAATGACAAACCAAAGCCTTGTATGAACGAAATATAATACATAATGAAACATAAAAAATTAAAGTTAACAACTAACGATTCTATAAACATAAGAAGTGCTATTTAAACTTTTAAAAACAACATTATATAAACTTCAAAAAAAATTTATTCGTAGCTTAACTTCAAATGTAATGTCAATCATAAACATTAATATTAACCAAATAACACTATATATTAGACTAAATATTTGAGTTAATTATTTATATCATAACTAATTAGTGTAGGTACTCAATAATATATTAATCTGTTTTGGAAACATATTAGAAATTTAGATTGGATATGATATAAGGTTTTTTGGAATTTTAAAGTTTTGGGTTCTTTCGGATATCCATTAAGTTCGGGTTCGGTTCGGGTAATACCCATAACCCAAAATACCGTAAAACAAGATCCATTCGGTACTTATGTCGGGTTCGGATCGGTTCGGGTTCCTTTTTATCGGGTCGGATTCGGTTCGGATTTTCGGGTTCGGGTTTTTTTGCCCAGCCCTATCGCTAAGAAACAAAAAAAAGGTGTGATAATGTGTAGGCCAATTCATCATCATTTTCTTCCTTGATTTAAAATGATGTTTCTTTGTGACAATGACATATAATATGTAAGATTGGACCTAGTGGTCACTGTATCAATGTGCCATCTGCTGTAATAAAAAAAAAAAAAAAAAAAAAAAAACTCTCTATCCTAAGCTTATTGAGGAGCTGGCTATTGCTGCTCAAAACAAGCATCTTTTGTGGTTCTTGGCCATAATTCGAATCTCAAATCACTAATACTGTTTGGTTCAAAATAATCAAAATAACCAAAATTAACAAATATTAGCAAGGAAATCAAATTACTCAATATTCGTATTCAAAATATTAGAAATTAGTTAAATGATCTCATTCAAAATACCGAAATTTTTACTTGAAATATCTAGAACTATTTAAAAATCTGTAATCAGATTCAACTTTTTTTACTCCGTTTATAGCTGATTTTTAGATTTAATTAACCAAAACTGAACCAAGTTTTATAAAAAGTCAAATTGTTTTTTTTTTTATATAAAACATTCTTTTGACTGATTTAGAGCAACTCATTTGAAAATTTTCACAGGTGAATATCTTACAAAAGGTAAAAAAAAAAAGCATCTCAAATGCTGAGATTTGAGAACCCTTCAAAAATATTTTAAAGTAGAGTTCTTTTTTTTTTTTTTTCTTTGTAACACCAACTTTGTTCAGCCCACGAAAGGGTCCATAAGCAAAGAAGAAGAAAGTGATTGTTTTGCCAACAAGTAGGCTTCCACATTCATCGATCTCGGGAAAAAGGAGAAGGAAACAGCAACGAAAACAGAGGAGATTCGCTTGATATCATTGACGATACTGAGGATTTCCTTGATCTGCATGTTGCATGAGATAGCTCGGATGAGCGTTGTATTGTCAGAGAAACAAAGGAGCTTCTGGAGCCCTAAGTCCACTGCAGAGAGGAGAGCTGATCTGAGAGCGATAGCTTCGGCAGTCAGGGGAGATATGATGAGATTCTTGTAGGTAGCATCCTGGTTGATGCGAGCTCCAGTCGAATCCGTGAAGATCCAGGCCACTCCTGCTCGTTTTGATGTTTTGTCCCATGCCGCGTCCGTTCTACAAGTTACCGCCGTTGGATCATCCAGCCTCAAGTCGAGGGTCTGTCTTCCACACGGTAGGTGTCTTATTTTCTGCTTAGTTGGTGATTGTGCTGTGACCCACTCTCGTGCTAGTCTTAATCCCTTTGTTGCTGTCTCTATAGGTGATAGGCTTCTTTTCTCAAACAGCAGTAGGTTTCGCGCGTTCCATAGAGCCCAGCAAATCCACGGTAGGACAGTGCTTGTAATTCCTATTGGTGGGAGACAAACTGCCTGATGATATGAGGCGATGGCTTCCTTGAACGTAGCTTCTGTAGCTAGGTGAGCTACATTCTTGAGTGGGATACGGTTCCAGACCTCTTGTGCGTAGGGACACCAGAAGAAGGTATGCATAGCAGATTCCACACCCTTGCATCTCTTACAAAGTGTTCCTTCAACTATTTCGCGTAGCTGCAAGTTTTCACCTAGAGATAAAGCTCTCTGAATCACAGACCATAGAAAGAGCTTCATTTTTGGTGAACATGCTTCTGACCATACATGTTTGATCCAACCGAAAGCTTCTGGTGCAGGTGGAGAAGGATTGGTAGGTACTTGCATAGTTGCTGAAAAGTACCGTGAACGCGTAGTATATTCTCCTGACACTGAAGGTTGCCACACATACACGTCCTCAGCTTTGTGAATACTCGGCTGCAGTAACTGAATCTCCTTCGCCAAGTTAGGTAGAATAGCTTCTATCTTTAAAGTAGAGTTCTTAATATTTGAAATACCCATTTATTTCTTCTGTTCCTGTGAGACTCATATTTGAGAAATTTTCAATGATGCTCTAACTGAAATATTCAAAACCATAATTTCTGAACCAAACCGAAACAATAAGTCGAACCCCCAAATTGTTGTATGTTCGGTTATGTTTTACAAATTACAACCGACTTAGAAAACTCTAATTACAGTATAGTTAGGCCCATTCCCCTGCAATATAAATATTAAAAAGGACCGGCATGTAATTTACATGTTTGACCATTCTATCAAATAGATCCCTTTTAGGTTACTCGTCTTTTTAATTCACTTCGTCTCTCTCTCTCTCTCTCGTTCTCCCCTTTGATCGAACCCCAAGTTAGAACCACAGGAAAAATAATAAGAAGAAGATACCGTCGACGAGCCCCTCTTGATTCTCTAATACCCTCAGCTTCCCCGACAACAATAAATCTTTAACTGTTTTGTCTCTCCAAAAGCTTGTAATAGAAATCTAGTAGCTATGTCGGACAAGTTCTCACCGACCTTAAGACTCGGAGACCTCAACGATTTCATTGCTCCATCTCAAGCTTGTATAGTATCTCTCAAAGGCTCAAAAAAGCCCATCAACAAAAAGCCTGATCAACCCCAGGTCCTAAATTTCAATCCTTTCTTTCGTTTTATTCCTTTAATTTTAGTAATTTTAAATATCTCCACAAGCTGAAAGTATGATTCTTTGTACTGTAAAAGGTGGTCCTTACCCCAAAACAGTTGCTTGAACCGGTCAAAATCTCTCTCAAGGATTGCTTAGCTTGCAGGTATGTTAGAGCATGTTGAATGGATAGTTCTTAGGATGGATAGTTCTTAGGATGGGGTTCTTAGCATAAGAAATCGTCTCTTAACTTTTAATTTTAAAAAAAATCTAAGAATTCGTTTTTAAATATTACTCTCTCACTTTCATATTAAGTGTTGTTGTAGAGAATTTTTGGCTTTACAAAATAAGTTTCGTTTTCGGTTTTCAACATAAAATTTATTAATTTTATTATGTAATTTGTTTTTCTATTGGTTAAAATATGGTTAGTTGTATATGTAACTGTGTTTTTATATAGTAAATATGTAAAATTAATTGTTTTCTTAATCCGTGTGGACAGCTATGAAGTGACACTTATAATGAAACAGAGGGAGTAGTCATTAAACATGCTCTTATTTCTCTTTGAGATAGTCTTTAGACTTTAAAGGTGTAATTTGATTATTTGATGTAGTGGATGTATCACATCGGCTGAGACAGTTATGCTTGAGAAGCAAAGCTTAGATGAGTTTCTCTCTGCTCTTACAAAAGGCAAAGATGTGATTGTTTCTCTTTCTCCACAGTCCAGAGCCTCTATTGCGGTTTACTACGATATCTCTCCTCTTCAGGTTTTCAAGAAGCTGACTACGTTTCTAAAGTCTTTGGGAGTTAAAGCTGTGTTTGATACTAGTTGTAGTAGAGACTTGGTGCTTATTGAAGCTTGTAATGAGTTTGTGAACCGTTTCAAGAAAGCTAGTTCTGATGGGGATGGTGGTGATGATTCTAAGTCCCCTCTCCCTGTGCTTACCTCCGCGTGTCCTGGTAAGAGAGCTTCACTAGCTTGACTTAATCAAATGTTAGAAACCATGTGAGAGTAATGTGTTATTTTGTGGAATCAAGGTTGGATATGTTACGCTGAAAAGACGCTTGGTTCATTTGTTCTGCCGTATGTCTCTTCTGTTAAGAGTCCTCAGCAAGCTATTGGAGCTGCTATCAAACACCATCTATGTCAAGCGTTGGGACTCAGGTACTACTCTTGAAAATTCTGGTTTTCATTTGTTGTCTTTTTTGGATCCATAGGTTGACTATTTTTTTGGAAATAGGCTGGAGGAGATTTACCATGTGACTGTGATGCCTTGTTACGATAAGAAGCTGGAGGCAGCAAGAGACGATTTTGTGTTTGGTGATAACCTGACTGAGGTTGATTCAGTGCTAACAACTGGTGAAATCTTGGATTTAATGAAGGTGAGAAAGATTAAACTAAACCCTGTCTTCTTCTTAACTTTGCTTCCATCCAGCAGAGAATGTGAATATGGTTTCTGGTTTATCATTATGTGTGTTACAGTTGAAAGGAGTTGATTTTAAAGATCTGGAGGAGTCTCCACTAGACAGATTGTAAGAAGGATCATTATTATTTTCTTTATCGTGATGTGTCTTGCAGTTTGATAAACATTTAACGTTTCCCATTTCAAAACAAAACAGGCTGACGAATGTTAATGAGGAAGGACATCTTTATGGTGTAGCTGGGAGTTCTGGTGGTTACGCAGAGACAATATTCAGACATGCGGCAAAAGCATTATTTGGACACACTATTGAAGGTCCTCTTGAGTTCAAAACTCTCAGAAACTCTGATTTTCGTGAATTAAGTCTTGAAGTAAGTTTTTAGAGACACACCATAACAACTTATCTCATTAGTCCTTGTATTATGTCTCACCTTCTTTTTCTTTTACTCTCTTGAAGCTGGAAGGTAAAACAGTGCTGAAATTCGCGTTGTGTTACGGTTTCCAAAACCTTCAGAATATTGTTCGGAAATTGAAGACACGCAAGTGCGAGTATCAGTACGTAGAGATTATGGCGTGTCCTGCAGGTTCATCTTCTTCTACTTTGCAAAACCGTACTTGGAAGAAGTGACTTTGTGTTATTAACGATTCTTTAAAATGCTTGATTTGAACAGGTTGCTTGAACGGTGGTGGGCAGATTAAGCCAAAAACCGGACAGACTCAGAAAGAACTGATCAATTCACTGGAAGCTACTTATATGAATGATACTGTAAGTTTCCTTGAAGAGTCATAGTTCCTTTTTTGTTTGAAACAATCTATAAGTCATAACCTGAGTTTTTTGGATTCAGGCTTTGAGTACAGATCCATTCCAGAATCCAATAGCCAAGAGACTGTACGATGAGTGGCTTCACCAGCCTGGTTCCGACGAGGCAAAGAAGTACTTGCACACTCAGTACCATGCAGTCGTGAAAAGCGTCACAGCTCAGCTCAACAATTGGTAGTAGACAAACCTTAGGTGTTTAAAGTTTTGACCGATAAGTGAGCAATGTCCCAGTGTTTTTATTTTTGTGTATTATTTTAGATGACTGAGAAGCTCCCTGCTCAAGTAGTCTTATATGTAAACACACAATTTAATTTGAAATAAATGAACAAATACACTCCCTACTTAGCTTTTGTTTGCTTTTGGTTCTCGCTTGATACAACCCCAATAACACAATTACTACTACCAAAGATCTTAGGAGCTTCTTTAACCTGAACAAAGTCTGATCCACCAAACACTGACTTCACCATCTCAATCACACACTCTTATCCTCTGGAATCAGTTTCAAAGAACCAAGCTCAGCAACTCCAGAGTTCACTGGTACAGACAAGACAGTCTTGAAACCAGCGGATCTAACTGAAAACGACCTAACCCTGTAATAATCAAGCAGCTAGCCCATAACGGTAATACAGAGACGCTAAATAAAACATATAGAAGTCAGTAAGAGGTCCTTGTTTCACCACACGATGAATATTTTTCCCTTTTGTGAATAAAGAGATAAGGTTGACAAGGGCCACACAATCCAAAATCCAAATGTTTGGTATATAAAAAAAAGAACCACTCTTACAAGGAAGAAGTGAGATATGATGATGATGATGTCTCTCCCCAAAATGAAAATATCTTCTCTGCAACCTCAACTCCATCTGAGCAGTAGCAGATTATTAGCAGCTACTCAGGCTCTTCCAAGCTCAACCACAAGGTGCAAAACATCATCTCTCATTCAGTGCAGATCAGCAATAAGAAGAAGTAAATTAACAACGAAAAGCATCAAAAACCTTGAAAAGACACACCCTTTGGATCTGGACAAGAAGCAGTTGAAGAGATATGCTCTTGTGAGTGGTGTCTCGATAGGTTTAATGATGGCTTTGGTACTGGGAATGGATGCAGAGAAGGCGATGGCACTAGGTCCAGAAGGTCCACTGATGGAAGAATTTTGGGACAACGTGAGAAGGTACGGTCTTTACGCTCTCACCGTCAGCACAGGAGCACTCTCTGCTGTCTTTGAGCCCATCTTTGAACTCCTCAAGAACCCAATCTCAGCCGTTCTCATTGTTATCATCTTAGGTGGAAGCTTCTATATCGTCTCCCAAGTTGTCTCATCCATGGTTGGTATCAACGAGTTCGTTTATGACTATGGATACTAGAGTTTGTTCTCTTACTACATTAATACTCTGTTCTTTTGTACAAGCGGAATGAAACATTGGTATTAGATCCTAAATTTTTAAAGAAAATTATATATTCTCTTTGTTTCATTATAAGTGTAACTTTGAGTTTATACACATGAATTAAGGAAACAATTAATTTTATATATTTTTTATATAAAAACACAATTACCTATACACCTAACCATATATCAATCAATAGAAAAATAGATTGTAAAATAAAATTAATAAATTTTGCATTAAAAATCAAAACTGATACTTATTTTGTAACGAATTTTTTTTTCTAAAACGAAACTTAATATGAAACTGAAAGAGTATATATATATAGACTCTCAAAAAAAAAAAATTTCAGCCCCCAAATCTATTAATTTTTTTTTTAATGTGAAATCGTTAAGAAATTAACTTAGGTAGATACATTTTATGTGGACTATCAATATTTGATTTTGTTATACAATCAATCAACTAGGTAGATACATTTTATTTGATATATAAAAGCACCAAACGTTGTACATGTTAATGGAGACTTTGGTTATAAATCTTTTATTTCAATAATATTTGTGAGAATCATCAGGCCGTCCAGCGACGTAGTCCATGATACCTTCTCCGGTTGCTTCATCTGAAAGCTGTTGAAAGCCACCGAAGGTGATAGCTATGGCCAAGAAGGCTGCCGTTGACGCAAACAGAGGCCAGAAGTAAGATAATATGTCGAGAACTATGGGTGCTGCGTATATGAGAGATGATACAAGTACGCTCACGGTGATTGCGACCATGAAATGGTATTTGTATTCCATTAGCCTTGCTTGAACCTCCATAACTTGTTGATCTAACTCGGGGGAGGGATAGATAAAGAGAGAGATTATGAGAGTTCCTGAAACCAAACTCTAATGATTGCAACTTGCGAGGAAGGAGAGATAGAGATGGTTTTAATGTCAAAAGCATGTTCTCAAGTCATGTTCTTTAGTGGGGCTGTGTTGTGTGCTTGTTGAAGATTCCCTTGTTTTCCATTAATTTAACCATCTAATGATTTAGTTACTCTACCTGGAATGACATGAATACCCCCCAAGTTTTAGAGAATGTGAAGGAATGGGTTTTGATGGATAAATGCATTGGTTTTGGTGGAGATGCCTTTGTCCAGGGAATGGGTTTTGTTTGTCTCTTTTCTTTATTGGTACCGAAGCAAAGACTTTGCTTAAACTTAGAAAAAAAAAACAATGAACGAATAAGGATGGAATCACTAATCACTTTGCAAAGTTTTTTTTTTTTTTTACATCATATCCAATGGAAAAGCATGAACTTTCTTTGTTTACATTATTAAACTTCACCGT